GTGGTACCTAATTTGAATTTCCTTGCAGTATTGTGACGTTTAGCTACAAAGTTCGGCAGTTTTAGCCCCTCATCCTTCTTCCTGTTCTGTCCTTTTATATTTTTGTTCAGTTTATCCTTTACAACACTTTTGAGATTGTCTTTGTCCTCATGTTTATTGCTTTTTGTGACTTGAACCATTTCCAATAAGTTTTGATCGCTCTCGAAACTCAGATTGTGCAGTTGACTACATAATGGTTCTGGTGCAGGTTCTATCATGAATATCGGGCGAGAAATATCAGGTGGAAAAGAATGAGATAGCTCTGATGTGATGTCGACGAATGGCTGTGGTTCACACGCAAACAACATACGCTGTTGTTGCATAGAATCCGCAAAAGGATATGCAACATTCTGTAATTGATGTATATCATTTACCGGGTATCCTTTAAAAATAGAATTTAACATTTATCATTGAAAGACACTATTCAAGTAGACTTGCATAATACAAATGCATGAAAAATATTTCAATGTATAAAACGCTACAATAAATAAAAATTTCTTAATTAAGTTTTATGTTCTTTAAATACTTGGTTGTTTTCTCCATGCATCATTAAATAATAAAGCGTAATAAATTATAATACTTTAATAATTTCAAGATATTGAAATTATTAAAGTATTATAATTTTTCTGTCCATCCGTCTGTTCGTCCGTCCAATTTGTTCGTCTGCAAAATTTCTTCAGAATGGCTTCAAATTCCGATTTTCGGAAATAAATACCCAAGGATCAATAATTAGCTCTATCGAGGCAAGATATAGGTTAAATTAATTGATTGCATAAATAAGAGATCAAAGTTTAAGGTCAATAAGATTTTTAAAATAAAATATAGAGTAAACTAAAGAGCTTAACTTTTTCAAACTCTGGTTTTTTGCTGCGCTACTTCATATTACATTTGTTGTAATGGTTTATTACACATTGAGTGACTACACGAATCAGAATTGAAATTTAACGTTATTAAAATTATTATTTTATTGTACAATCTTTCAATTTAAATTTTAATATAATATAATTATCACATTATTTATAATTTCTTATAAATCACATGCAAATTATTCAATTTTTACGCAGGAATTTACAATCGCAAACTTATTTTGAAGTTCACAAGAACAGTTGCCAATCAGAAAAGTTGTCAATCAGAGAAGAGTCAATAAGAGCTTGTTCAAGAACTTTACTCGGGTGCACCTATGTATCATTTTTATCTTTGTTTGACTTTTGTTTCGGTGACAACAAAAATAAAATGATACATAGATGCACCCGAGCAAAGTTTCTAAATGAGTTTTTGAATGCAACCTAGTTAATGTTACGGCTTCTGATTGACTATCGCGACCGCTTTTGCGACTTTAAAATGAGTTTGCGAACATACTGTAAACCCCGCATAATTATCTGTAAAATGTAAAAAGAGACTAAGATAGTATTAACCAACAATTAATTTATCGAGTAATATATAGTTAGAAATTTTTGTAAACGATTTTGCAATGCTATTTCTAGCTAGATCTATTAAAGAATTTGTATAAAATGTATGCAAATCAATCGGTAATCACTCTAATATTTAAAAAAATAAGAAATTTTATTCTTATGCAACATAAAAGCTACGTTCTTATGTTACACGCGTGATTAATTAATTTTTTTTTAAACAAGAATTTATTCTATATTAAAGAATTTATTCTATTTTTAAGAAATAAGATACGAGTTTAAAATGCTTATTAAAAGACTCAATTTAAGCTATGGTTTGAACGTAATTAATACACCTTGATAATAAATTCATTCGCAGAACGCTGCTCTAAACAAAACTCGATATTCCATTTATCTTCGTTATGGCCAGTATTTATAGTTAGCGTCATACATTTAAAACCGTCTCAAATACAGTCTTAACACATAAGTCACAATCACAGGCCAGTATTTATAGTCATATCAATTCTTATATTTTACTGTCTTAAGATGACATAAACCAATCAGAAGACCGTATTAGCGTTTTAAGACACTTAAAATTTTATTTAATGGTTTTAGGCCCAATTGCATCAATGGCCTAGTTTTCACCGAGAGTTTAAATCGGATCAGAATGTAAGAATCAACCACTACAGTCGAATATTTCCCTGTTACAGTCGAACGACAGGAAAATGCTTGACTGTAATTAGTTGGTTTTTATATTCTCATCCGGTTTAAACTCTCGGTAGAAACTAGGCCAATGTTATTTTAAATCTATCTCGTTTTAAAGCTAAAAAAAATAGAAATAGAAAGAATTTTAAATCTCACTTAAAATCAAAGTAAGTTGGTGCAATCGGGCCTTAAGGATTATTTATACTAAGGCTACGTATCCTTCCTCTCCGAGGAAGATTTTACTGTATATGCTATAGTATACGTTACGTAATACTATATATTTTGAATAAAATTTTCCTCAGAGACGAAGTTTTAGAACGTAACCTAAATTATACTGATCGTAGTCTGGTAACTTACATCATAATCTGTAAGAATTGATCAATCATAATTGATTATTCTCCACTCGTTTGACTGCGATTGAATTCATCAATTCTTACAAGCTAATATTTCTTATGTCATACGACAAGGCTTTTAAAATCTTTTGATTGATTGCAGAACAGAGAGGTTCTCGGATCTTTGCAGTCAATCAACACGCTTAAAAAGTTTGTTGTACGAAATATGAAATATTATCCCGAATCCTCATACAGACAACAGCGTTTTGACACTGAACGCTGATTGGTTAAAAACAGGTGATAAAGGTAAAGTTTACCTCTGTCATCAATCAGCACTTTAACACCGAGCGCTGATTGATGACAGGAGAAGTAAGGATAATATTTATCCCCATCATCGTTTTTCACCAATCAACGTGCAATGTCAAAGCGCTGTTAAGGCCAATCAGAAGCGTCAATGGTACTAATAACAGCTTTTCATTGGCTGTCGCAAATGCGTCTGCGAACTGCGTTATGCGTTTGCGACTTATGTAGACGGTCCTTTATGTTAGTATGAAGATCTGGGCCCCTATTCTTGAAAAGTATCGCATACGAAAAATTAGGGAAATATTGTAGTTATATGCATTACATATACTATATCATATCCTTAGTTTTACGTATGCGATACTTTTCAAGAATAGATGCCCTGGGCGTACAGATTAGCTGCGTTCAGTGAACTCAACAGTTGAGTGAGCGCTCGCTGTTATTGGTGTATTCTTTTAGATCATCCAATTAGCATTTTAGATCTGGAAGAATACATCAATAGCAGCGAGCGCTCAGTGCGTTGAGTGCATTCTCAGGAACGCATTCTAGGAATTTTTAGCCACGTCTTGCTATACCCATATCACAGAAAATGTTGCCTTATTTTATTGTAAATAGGTTATAACGAAAGATTGAAGAACATAAAAGATTATAAGAGATATATTTCTACTTACTGTAGCATGTGTACAGTTTTTATGAGTATTATCTTTATTTGCTGCAAATTTTTGTT